CTCTAAACCAGAAAACGCTGCAATAATTTTTGAGTTTAGGGGTAAGACACATAAAGTCAAGCCAGAGGTATTTTTAAGAGAAGCAATAATCTCATTTGAAAGACTTTTAGTCCCAGAATTATTCATTTTTCTTGATTAGAAATAGTAAAACCAAATTATCTAGAAGAGATCATGTGTTTTAAATGTTTTTTCTGAAAAAAACGTGTGTGACAACAGACACTAATCATAATTAATGCAGGAATAATTGATCGACTAAAATAAGGCCAAGTTTTCAGTCTTTAAATTTTACATTCTGTGAATAATACTTTTATGTGACTTTATTTAAAATTAATATCAGCCTTTCCTTGTGCAGAAGTTATAGGACTGATAGCCCACATTTCAGGCCCATACTGAGAGATGACAAAGAGTAGCTCTTCCTAAAAGATCAAAGATTCCGCTGCCATAACCTCAGGCTTTGACAAACTCCCAAACACAACGCTTTTATGCAAAGTATTCAAGAAGATGTAAATATGTGCTTCATTTATGCTCTCTGCTGTGCAACATGCTCCACGTGGATGACAAGAGCTGCTAGATTAAAGGCTGCAGCATGAAATGGTATATGACACCTGCGCACCTATAAATCATCATCTGTAAAGCCCAGACGACTGAGGCATCCCGCAGCACCAGGTTTACCCAGACTATTGTGTGTAAATGATGCTGCAGAAATGAAGGTAAAATCAGAGACTGCCCATTTCAGCACTTTTCAGGAAAAAAATTGTTATTCAAGTTGTACAACCAGCAGCCATCGTCATTCAGTTTAACATGCAGCTAAAAACATAAAAAGCTAAGTCTGCTGATTAAAGTATTTAGCCTCGGTGACAGCTTTATGTGTGTTTGATTAAACATTCTGAGGTTTGTTTTTCTAATTTTGCCTAATACACCTTTAAATCCTCGACAAAGTGACCCAGCACACTATTAACAACTGCAATAAACTTTTTTTAATGTCTGCATTTATCATGACTTACGGTCACCTGCTGCCATCTGGCCAGCTGACAGATAGCCGAGATGTAATCCTTCATGCAGCTCATAAATCGGGGCAGCGAAGGTTACATGATATACGGAGCAAAATGCTTGAAGACACACTTACAGTTTGAGGACGTGCGGGTCCACACACTGCTGCAACCTTGTGCTGGCCTTACAGACACATGAATCCTGGTGCAAACATGCACTTTGCAAAGACTTTTTCACTACAAATGGTTGCAGGCGCGGTTATATGAGTTCACTTCACTGGTTGGCCTAACTTAATGTGGTCTGTGCAACAAGAAATCCTGTTATTGCATGACTTTTTCTTTATTTTAGTTATTTATTTTGTCTGTTTTATTTTAATTGCAACAGACTGGGAAAATAGAACTACACGCTTGATGTTGCAACATAATTAAAAAGTGACACAAACTTAAACTGAATAAATGATTCTCTGAAATGTTTTATTGTTAGACAATGGCATAGCATGTTCTAATATTGGTCATGTCATTTAATGTAATTTTTAAGGTTTATCTGCTCCCACATAACTGATTTAAATGAGTTGGTGATTAAAAGGCTTCTGCAGAACTGTAAAGAGATGATTCAGTCACTAAATCAGGTGTGCCAGAGCAGGAAAACACGTAAAACATGCAGAATAGCAGCCTTCGAGGACCAGTATTTACATAACCCTGATCATAACATAACATAACATAACATAACATCATAATGTCATTTGTTGATGCTGTCTTTTAAAATCCTATTTGGCTTATATACATATAAAATGCTAAATTCTAAGTGTTCCTTTCTTTAGTTCACAAGCTAAGGGGAAATATATTGACACTTCAGTATAAAAAGATTAGAGGTTTTAAAACCCGCCCTACTTCACAAGAAAAAAATCTTTGAGGAGGCAAATATGCAAGTAAAAATGCATGTTTGTTGCCAAAATTTCACAACTATGTTCAGAATTCTTTAGTAGCCTAAATAGTAAGTAAACTTGCCTTCCCAGTATTATAAAGTAAAAAAATACAATTGTCATTTCTGGCATGTAATGAAGAAAAATAATCATTACAAACTGATCAAACAAGTTCCCAATCTTAGATTTGTGTAAGGTTGGGGTGTGCCCATGCTTTCATTTTAATCCATGCTCAAAAATAGGCTAAACTCATCATCACTTTTATTTCTCAGCTTCTCATCAGTGTCACTTTACACTCACACAATGCAAGTCACTGAGTGAGCTTTTGCATGCCTGCCTTTCACTGAAGTTGTCTTCTTATTTTTAATAAATGGAACTTAATTTGTAACTCTACATGTACAAATAAATTATTAAATACAGTTCAAATAAACAGTAAACATTTTTCCAATCAAACTTTGTTTGTTTGTTTGTTTGTGTTATATAAATTTTGTTTTTCCAAGTTAGCTGGACGAGCTCAAAAAGGTGCACTTCCCCTTTAAGACGGCAGCCTCTAACGTGGTGATGACGCATATATTATGCGACGAAATTTTGAAGCACCGGCTTCGTCACTGCTGGACACAACATTATTTGAAATAATGCTAATAATTTTAACAAGCAACCAATTTTTATGTTTTTGTGGATGTTCCGCTTGATTAGAGAGGATGTGATAAAGTCCCATAAACGCCTAAAAATAGCAAACGACGTTTATTTTCCCCTGTGGATGAACTGCAGTCGAGTTTTTCTTTTTTCATGTAAGATGCTGCACTTTATGCTTACAATAATAAATAAAATAACGGAACCTTTGGACAGTAGCTATCATCAGTATCTTAATGTTCGTATTAGCCTTATTGTTGTACTTGTGTATTGTTTTTCTTGGTTTCTAACTGCTAAAACGTTTTGAAAACGCACAAAGAACTTACGCTAACATTAAATTGTATATAAATTTGTTTCATATGATATGATAAGCATCTACTTTCTGAACTCTTTCATTCTGATAATCAACTCTATTATAGCTTTAACCAATTTATTTATTGGCTTAGGCTGTTTTAAACGTTTGTTTTCTTATGTAGGTGTCTTAACGTAGTGATTCTACTTTTTTAAAATGCTTGAAATGTTATACTAATATTGTGTTTTTTATTCCAGGAATTACTTTTATATTAAAAAGAAAATTGACTGACAGCATCCCTCCTGAACTCCCTCGCTAAGAGCCAGTCTGGTCCTTAAAACCAGATGAATAAGTGCTTCTTGGGAAGCAGCTCCCGCAGTGAATCTCTCCTGTCACACTTGTGGACCGTGCTGGGCTCCGGTAGCCCATCCATGCCTGTGATCCCCATCCCACGGCGGGTGCGCAGCTTCCATGGCCCCCACACCACCTGCATGCACTCGGCCTGCGGGTCGTCGCACACGTCCAAGCTGGTGCGCACCAAGTACAACAACTTCGACCTGTACCTGCGCTCCCGCTGCATGTACAGCTTCCTCCGCTTCCTGCTCTACTTCGGCTGCAGCCTGCTGACCTCTCTGCTCTGGGTGCTGCTCTCGGTCGTCTTTTTCCTGCAGTACGTCAGCGTGCGCGTGCTCCTGCGGCTGCAGTACAAACTGTCAGTTATACTGCTTCTGCTGGGCCACCGGCGCCTGGACTTTGGCGTGCTCAACGATCTGATCATCTACAGCATGCACATCACCATGTTTCTGGTGGGGGGGCTCGGTTGGTGTTTCATGGTGTTTGTGGACATGTAGCCTGATCCTTGTGAAGAACTTTTCATTCGAGGGGACAGTGTGACTTGAGCATTGTGTGGCGCTTCAGAACCTCACCTAAACACCTGTAGCGTAAACTGTAAAATTATTTTTGTTGTTCAGCTTTTCTTTTTCAAAAGCACCTTTCTGACATTTAGCTTCTAAAATCCTATATAATCCAGCTAGAATTGACCACATCAAAGCAGCCCAGAAGCCATGTGTGGCACGAAGATTTTAGTTTACACTTTTTTAAAAACAGTCGGATCAGTCTCAAGTAATGAGCCCACACTGATGAGGCAGTGTGGAGTTAAAACGGGACCAAGAGCATCACAGTCTGTGTATTTTGATGTATTTCAAGCCAGTTTAAATCATTTCCATGAACTTGACATGTCACTGTGATGGAAAATATAAATGTCGTTGCATGATCTATGAACATATGACGGATGTGCTTTGTCACTATGTGATGCAAGCCAGCAGCACTTGAGCAGTGTTTCTAAAAGCTCACTACATCTAAGGTTATGTATCTCATGTTGTGTAAAAACATGTAAATATGTGTTTACGTTAGAAMCAAGTAAACATGCAGTGAAAGTACATAACTATGTGTGTTGGTGGTGGATCTAAATAGTTTAAGGCATTTTGAAGACCCCAAGGAACAATTTTTTTTTTCCTGTAAATTTACATGATAGATATTCATGTCATGAAGTGTTTTGGGCTTTTAAGTGCACGGCCAAGTGAATGTGTGTTCTGTATAGTCTTAACACCCATGATGGCCTGCCTCGAGCTGGATCACACGAGCGTGACGGTTCAACTTGAGAACGACTCTGGGTCAAGTGTTCCATCAGTTGCTCTTCACATGGTTGCAGTGTTGCTCTGACAGACTTCTCTGTTTGAGTTTCCTGCAGCACACAAACACCAGCCACCGCTAGACCCCTCGGCCTCTGCCAAGCATAACAATGAGCGTGGCGGTGTCCCAACGACCTTATATAGTCTCCTTTCCACTGCACGTGAAGYGAGCTTACAGGAACTCATTTAACAGATTCGAGCACTCAGATTTGCTTTTATATCACACAGTGTGCTGGTTTTAACATGTTTCTTTTTGGCTAGCATGCAAAAGAGGATGGATGCTATTAAACGGACAGCTTTGCTGTAAATGTGAACTTTTGACTCTGTAGCTGGTGGGCTGATTGAGACATGCTTGATCCCCTTTTTGGCCTCAGGCAGGAAATGGATAATCAGGAAAACAATATGCTGTTGTTCTGCGGATAAACACATCATATGCTTCATGTCCTGAGTCTGGGCCAATCACACTACACCAGGGTGACCATGAATTATTCTGTAATGTCACTGTTGTGCTTTAAGAATACCTGACGAGTCACTGACTGACAAGTTTCATTTCTTCCTTTTGTTTTGGAAAGCTGAAGTCGTTTGCTTAGTTTGAATGACTTGCAAGTTTCTTTCATCCACATTAGCAAACTTAAAATTTAAGCTCTTTGTTTAAAGTTTTGATTTGGAGCTTTTAACCTCCTTTGCAAGTGTTTTGACATATTTATTAGACACATCCACATAAAGCGAAACAAAACATACGACATCCGTACTTTTTGTAATGCTATCAACTCATGCCCTGAAGCCTCGTGTATTGACATCTGACTGAAGGATTTGTCCTGATGCCTTTTGATAAATAAGAAAAACATTACATCAGTAATACTTTCATACACAACATGGCTGACATTAACACGAGCATTTTCTGATTAGTTACCTTTTTAATTAGAATACTTAAAGAGAAATAAAGCGAAGACAAAAAGATAGTCGTGTACCAGTAATTAGCAATAAGATAAAATATTAAATGTCCAAGACATTCTTACCTTTTTCTATATTTCTTTCAACAATATTATACATTTCCCCAACTTCATTAGTACCAATCATTTCAATGATTTGCAAAGCAGTTTTCTGCTTCAGTTATGTTGTGTTTGACATGTTTCTCTCTCTCTTTTTTTTTTTTACCAATTCATGGCATTTAAATTAGTTAAAAAAAGAAATTACTAATATCTAAACATAAGATAATATATTGTAAGACAATTTTTAACCCATAATTGGAACTTTAAAAAGATTGTGAGGAATTCTTAGAAGAAGCCAGCATGTCATTTTTGAAGCAATTTTATTTAAAAATAAAAAGGTAATCTGCAAAAATTGAAAGCTACCAGATGCAGCATTAGAGGCAATCTATAGATCTAGTTCTGAATATTTTGAATAGTGGAATATTCATTTCCCTTAAGTTGTGCGTCACAATAATTGTGTGCCATGTCGCTGTGTCTTTCCTTTTGTTTTATTGTTCAAAATCAAAAAACACAGTATATGCTCGAAACGATCCCCCCCCCCCCCCCCCCCCCCCGCTTGCTTAGAAGATAAAGTTTAGTGACTCTCACTTTTAACACCATCAGTCAACAACAGGTCAGCGAGAATGAGCAAGCCTGGCCACTTTGTTGGTATAGGTAATTTCACATGGTTGTTATTCACAACAAAGTCTAAAGTCAGCCTCAATGCCTGGCTGGAAAAATGAATAAAATAATAAATAGGCTAAATACATAAATAGCCAGATGTTTAGATGCTTAACACCTTTTAAGCATCATTTAGATGACTAGTTCCACTGCAATGGTACTCTTTTTTTTCCCACCCTTGTACACAAAAACATTTTTAAAATGCATTTCTCGGTAAATGGCGATGACAACACGTGATACGACATTTCACAATATGGGGGGG